CGGCGGCAAATGCCATGGAAGAAATCCGCTAAGCGCGCTCGCTGGATTCATCACTTGCCTCCACAACTCGAGCGAAACCAGCTCGAGCAGGAAGGCCTGGGAGAAGCGCAAGGCGGTGGCGCTGCTGGAGCTCAGCAAGCAGCAGCAGGCGGCGCTGGCGGACAAGCAGGACACGATCGACATGCTCGAGTGGCAGCTGGAGCAGCTCCAGATGGCTACGTACGCGCTGGGAGTGTCCAACGACGAGGACGAGCTGCTCAAGCAAGCCCAAGGCGGCCAGGAGGAGAGCAGCGATCCAGCGCCTCTAACACCGCCGCCACCACCATCAGCGCCGCCACAAGCGCCGCCAGCTATCACCTCCGCCGCCGCCGCCACCCAAACTTACGCGCCGCTGGTGCTGCTCCTGGAGATGGCCGTGGTCCGGGCTCGCCTCTCGCTGCGCTACTTCTGCAACCTCTTCCTCAAGCAGATGGAGGCGTCGGGCTACCCGGTGTGCCGCGCGCTGGCGGAGATCGAGCCGGGCACCGCCTTCCTCCGCAAGGAGCACGCCGCCTACGTGCTCGACTCCAAGATCAACAAGGCCTTCTTCCACTGCTTCGAGAACGAGAGCTTCGACGGCGCCGGGATCACGCAGATCCTCGACCCGGCCAAGCGCGCCGCCACCAAGCTCCACGAGTACCGCCGGATGGCGGGGCTGGACATCGGCGACGCCGTGAATAGCAAGAGCGCCTGGTTTGATCCCGAGTTCCTGCGCTTCTGCCAGCACAAGACGCGCGAGATGTGGGGCGAGTTTGGATTCAGCGTCGCGTTTCGGAGCGTGGAGGAGCGGGACTCGTTCACGGCGGCGTTTTTGGACGTGGCCAAGGCGGTGTGGCTGCTGCACAGGCTCGCGTTCGCGGTGAATCCGGCCGTGGGGATCATCCGGGTGGCGAAAGGGACCGATATGGATGCGTCGTACGTGGAGGCGGTGGCGGCGCCCGAGAGGCCGTGTAGTGTCTGCGGCAAGGCCAAGGTGGTGGAGTTTATGGTGATGCCGGGCTTCCGGACGAACAACAAGGTGATCAAGTGCCAGGTCTATCCCCACGTCCAGTGCAAGTGATAGATAGATGGTTTTCTAACTTCCTTTCCTCTAGTTTGTATCCTATTCTCTTCAAAGTTTGATATCGTTCCAAGAAAGCCCAACTCTCTAAAGCAGACCACAATGCCTTGAAAATCTCATAGCCCCTTTGATTAGGCTTCTACTTCAGCCACAACAATTTCTTGCTCTTTGCAACCATTTGCAAGCATGCAAGCAGATTTAAGAATTTATTGAAATAAATTAATATTAATAGGTCCAAGCACAATTTTGATTTTTCTCAAAAGGAAAGTGTATTTTGGACATTCAACAACTTACCAAAATATTTTAAGTTTTTACTATAAAAAATTTATAACTTATAACTTTTATAATATAATTAATTTTATTATCTTTTTTCTTATTAAATTACTATTATTATAGAACATTTGCATTGTGTTACTTGGCAAGAAAAATTAAGTATAAAAAACATTTATAATTATTATAATTAATTAAATTTTTGCTATAAAAAAGTATTTACATTATAAAAGATGAATTCTTAGAATTTTTACCAACAAAAACCATAAACACACAGTACATTTTATACACTTCCATATTTTTCCCTTGAAAGGAACCATGGTTCTTTAAAGAACCCCTTAAGGATTGTAGGATCAGCATTGCATGCTAATGCCGTTAATGCTAAACATTGGATATGATTATTATTAAGATACCACATTTTCCTAGATAACTATCAATTTTATTTTATTTGTATGATATTTAAAGATTGACAAAGCAATAATATAAGATTGCAAAACTATTGACGTTAAAGACTAATGCCAAAATGTAATAAAGAATTTTCTAAAATATTTATTAAATAAAATAAAATATATAAAATTCCAGAATAATCATTTTTTTTACATTTTAATATTTACTTTCTTTAGAAAAAATGCACAAAAATAAATAAAATTCCAGAATAATCATCAAGTCCTTAAGTTAGCCATTCCACAAAGATGATGCAACTACTATGTAATAATCTTTGTTTTTTTTGTTGAAAATAAGTTATGTTTTGGCGAATTATATAGTGAATTTAATTTGACAAGAAGGCAAAATTATAATATAGAGTAACTATTAAATGTATTAAAATTATTAATTAAAATTTCACAAATGAACAAGGCTATAGATGAAATATAAATTTATATGTAAATAGTGGAGCTAAATGTATTTTAAATCCATTGTTATGAAAAGTAAATTTTCATACCTCATTTAATCAAAATGCAAAAAGAAAAATAGATTACTTCAATTTGGTAAAAGCAAAAGAAATAAATTGCAATTTTATATTTTGCATATATAAAATATATATACATCATAAGTAAATATTTCATACCCTTGACATGTTTTGTGTCTAACTTTTCTCTTCTAAATTCCAAGTTTTTCTTTTCTAACTAGTGACCTTTGTTCTGAATATTTACTTAAAAAAAGTTAATTTTTATTTTTCCATACAAAGGATTGCTGCAAAGCAATATAATTCTTTTAGTTACTACTATAAACTTAAGCGGTCAAGCTGGAGACGAAAGCCCTTCTCCACCGCCTTGAACGTGAATTCGTTCGGCGTGTGGCCATTCCGCATCATCTCTTGCAGTAAATCCCATGCAGCATCCACATCCGAGCGGCACAAAATCTGCACAAGAGTTCCATAAGTGTGATCATCTGGAAAAATCCCTGCTTTCAGCATCTCTTCCAGCAGCTCCATCGCTCTCGAAACTTTCCCGGCGCCAGCCAGAGTCTGGATCAAGCTGGTGTACGTGAAGCAGTCCGGAATCACTCCATTGTCTATCATCTCGGCCAGGAGATCGAATGCTCGCTCCTCCATGCCCACCTTCCCCAGCCCGTGAATGATCATGCTGTAAGTCACGATGCTCGGCTCCAGTTCTTCCTTTCTCCGCTGCATCTCACGGAGGAGCTCCAGGGCCTCGTCCATCTTCTTCAGCTTGCACAGCGCGTTGATCACGGTGTTGTAAGTCACAGTGCTGGGAAGAATACCGTCCTTGAGGATCCTCTGGTAGAGCTCGAGAGCTTCTTCGAGCCTGCTGGACTTGACGAAGCCGTCCATGATCATCGTGTAAATGTACCTGTTGGGCTTCACTGCCGCCTTGTCCATGAGCCGGAGGACGTGAGTCGCCGCTGCCATGGATCCCTCCTTGCAGAAGTTGTCGATGATGATCCCGTAAGTGTGCATGTCGGGCTTGCAGCCTTTCTCCACCATCGTCTCGAAAACCTTCTCGGCTTCCTCCCTCCTGCCGATGCTGTAGAGAGCTTCGATGAACATCGTGTAGGAGATGGTGTCGGGAGCACAGTCTCTGTCCGCCATCTCCTCCATCACCGCGAAAGCCTTCTCCACCTTTCCCATGCCGATGTAGCCAGTGACGATGAAACTGTAAGTGTCCACTCGAGGCCTCAGCCTTCTTCGTCTCATCTCCTGGATCGTCTTTACAGCCTCTTGAATCCTCCCACACTTGCAAAGCCCGGCGACGATCGAGGTGTAAGCCACTGCAGTCGGCGGAGGACCCCTGGCGACCATCAAGTCGACAAGCTTTCGCGCCTCGTCCACTCTCCCGGCCTTGGACAGCCCGTCGATCAAACTCGAGTAAGCGATGATGTCCGGCTTGTATCCCTTTCGGATCATCTCTTCGAAGACGTCGCAGGCTCTCTCCACCTTGTGAGCCTTGCACAAGCCATCGACGAGAACAGTGTAAGTAAACAAAGTTGGCTCACATTTGCTCGCCACCATCTTCTCGTAGTACTCCAGTCCCGCATCATAGTTCCCAGCCTTGAAGAGGCCGTCCACAATCGCAGTGTAAGTCACCGAGTCCGGAGCTTCAATCGCCTCGAAGAGCCGGCAAGCCTCATCGGTCCGCTTCGCTGCTGCAAGCCCGCGGATTAGAATCCCATACGAGACCGAATCCAAGCTCGACTTTGGAGACACCGAGTTGAAGTAGCTTACCGCCTTGTCGAGGTCGCGTCGAGCACAGAGAGCGCTGAGAATGACCCCGTGCGTGGCACCATTGCTGGTTATCCCGCGGGATTTCATCTCCCGGAGCAAAGCATTCACCACCTCGAAGTCGTCCCTCGCGGCAAATCCTCTAAGCAGTATGTTGAACGAGGAGACGTTGGGCTCGGAGATGCTGCTCTGGAAGAACCCGAGAGCATCCGAGAGATGGCCTCCACGAACCAGTGCGAGCAGGAGAGAGTTGCGGGTGAAGAGGGTGTGCGAGAAGCCCGGCCTCGTAGCAGCCCAGTGATAGAAGCCGAGAGCGTTGCAAGTGCACCGGAGCCTGCCGAGGACACCACCGAATGTATCTCTCGACAGCTTGGTGCTCACTGCGGCGTGGGATCTCTCGAGCAGCGCTTGGACGTCGCTAGCCTTGTCCTCCAGGATGGCGAGCAGCGATTCTACGTGGCGGGTGTCTTCGTGCTCGAAAGTGGGAGCTGAGACCCTATAGCGCCTCTGGATCCTCCACACCACTGGGAGAAATCGCTGCTTTCTCATCGTTTGCAACCAATCTTGGAGCACAACCCGCGGATTTGAGCTTCTGGCAATGCTTTTGGAGCCCGCCAAGCCCCTTGATCACGGTAGAGAAGCTCGCCTTTGGAGTGACTCGAGTGACTGCATGGCCTTGAGAATGATCCCATGAGTCACAGCGCGCATGGCGGGATTGCTGCTGTACATTCTTTCCTTGAAAATCGCCCACATTCTCACCTGGCTTGGGGCTTTCGAGCGATTCTGGCCAAGAACAATAGCCAAAATCCTAAAACCCTAAATCTCAAATGTTAGGGTTCTTATTTTCCAGTTGCCACATCAGCACGATCTAACCGTCCATTAAAAATATAAAGGTTTTAGGTATATTCTGGCTTTAAACCCTTAAACCCTAAAGTTCCTCTGTTTGTGTAACCTAGGGCAGGGCGTGCGTGCGCTGGGGTTTTGCGATGGAGCAGCTGGAGCTCCTGCTTTTCCAGTTCTTGATGCCCGACAATGACGCTCGCAAGAATGCAGAGGAGCAAATCAAGCATCTCGCCAGGGATCCGGAGCTCGTGCCCGCGCTACTGCACCAGATCCGCAACGCCAGGTCTGCAAATGTGCGCCAGCTCGCGGCGGTGCTGCTGCGCAAGAAGATCGTCGGCCTGTGGATGAAGCTCAATCCGCAGCTCCACGCCTCGCTCAAGAATTTGCTGCTGGAGAGCATCACACTCGACAACAGGTAGGAAATTTTGGTCGAAAGGCTTTAGCTTTCTCTCAATTCGTTTGCGTAGCCTCGCCGTGCGACGTGCCAGTGCTGATGTGGTGAGCGCTTTGGCGAAACAAGACGTTCCAGCAGGAAATTGGCCAGAGCTACTGCCTTTCCTCTTTCAATGCAGCCAGAGTTCGCAAGAAGATCATCGCGAGGTGGGAAGCCAAATGTAGCTCGTTGCTGTGCTGTGACAATGTTTCGTCTTTCTTGGCATGTTTATATCAGGTGGCGCTTGTGCTTTTCAGTTCTCTCACGGAAACCATTGGAGAGATTCTCAGGCCACATTTCGCGACTTTGCATGTCATCTTTCTCAATGGATTGAGAGACCAGAGCGCCAAAGTCAGAGTTGCGGCTCTCAAGTATGCATACCCCCTTTGCTCGCAGCGGTTTTTATCAAAAAACTCATTGTCTTTTCGTGCATAGGGCAGGCGGAACGCTCGTAGGATACATCGAGAGCGAGGATGAAGTGGTGAGCTTGCGTTTTCACTTCGAGCTGGCAAGCATGTAACGTTTTAGTTTATGGACAGAGGATGATGCGCGAGCTCGTTGCGCCTATATTGGATGTGTCTCGCTACTGTCTAGAGACGGGGAGTGAGGATGTCGCTGTTCTCGCTTTTGAGATTTTTGACGAGCTTATTGAATCCCCGGTCTCTCTGCTCGGGCAGTCCATTCCTGTGATCGTCCATTTCGCACTGGAGGTAGCCTTGAACAGCAAGTGGGAGCAAAGCACTCGTTATCAGGTACGGGTGTGCATTTTTTATGGCTGTTCTCGGATTAAGGCTGGTTCTTCCAACAGGCTTTGCAGACTATATCGTGGCTTGCGAAGTATAAGCCGAAGACTCTGGTGAAACATAAGCTAGTTCCGGCTATCATCTCATCCATGTGTCAGATTCTTTCGGAGGAAGACGTTGAGCTGGACGAATACTCTGTTTCTGCAGACCGCGCTGCTGCCGAAGTCCTAGACACTATGGCCCTGCACCTGACCAACAAGCACGTCTTTCCGCACGTGTTCTCGTTTTCGCTGTCGAACTTTCAGCGGTCTGAGTATACCATCCGCGAAGCAGCAGTGATGTCTCTGGGGATAATAGCCGAAGGCTGCTACGAGATCATGAGAAGCAACTTAACTGACATCCTGAACTTGGTGCTACAAGCATTTGAGGATCAAGAGAAAGCTGTACGAGGAGCTGCGGGCTTTACGATTGGTCAATTTGCGGAGCACTTGCAGCCAGAGATTGTTCTGCATTACGAAAGAGTTCTTCCTTGCATCTTCAAAGTTTTGACAGATCCAAATGCTGAAGTTCAGGTAGGCTGCTTGTCATCCTTTTTACGAGTTTTCTTCACACCGTTATGCAGGAGAAGGCGTACTACGCGCTTGCTGCTTTCTGTGAGCATTTGGGATCGGAAATTCTGCCATTCTTGCCGGTTTTGATGGAGAGATTGGTGGCCACTCTGCAGTGTAGCCGGAGAGATTTGCAAGAAACTTGCATGGTATGGAAGTACTACTACCTTGTCTTGAATGATAGCCTTACCTCTTTTGCTTGCAGTCAGCCATATGCTCGACAGCAGCAGCAGCGCAGTCTGCATTCATTCCATATGCTCCAGGAGTTCTCGAGCTGATGAAAGGCTTTCTTGTTCTGACTGCTGACGAAGATTTGCCCGCTCGCGCCAGGGCTACGGAGCTGGTCGGTATCATTGGCACTGCGGTTGGCAGGCAATATATTGAGCCCGTTCTTCCCTCCTTTATCGAGGCAGCCATTTCTGTAAGTATTTGGAAGTCTCTCCTTCGTCTCATCTCCTCCCGTATGCAGGGCTTCTCTCTGGACTACACTGAGCTTCGTGAGTACAGCCATGGCTTCTTCAGTTCGGTGGCTGAAATCCTTGAAGGAGACTTAGAACAGGTTGAGCACTTTCTTTGAGATATCTATCCATCACTTGACTGACTATACCAAATGGTTGCAGTATCTTCCGCGTTTAGTGCCCTTAGCCTATGCAACTTGTGATCTTGACGATGGCACCACGGTGGATTTTGAGGTAGAAAACGAAGACGGAGAGTTTGGTGATGTATCGTCCGACGACGGCAACGATAACAACCAAAATTTACGCAATGTCAGTATCCGGACTGGTGTATTGGACGAGAAAGCTGCGGCCACTCAGGCCTTGGGAGCATTTGCTCTGCATTCCAAAGGCGCATTCATGCCGTATCCTTTTGCTTGTATCTTTTCATTCTTGTGACCTTGACAAGAATGACGCGTAGCTATCTTGAGGCGACATTGAAGATTCTGAGAAAGCACAGCATGTACTTCCACGAGGATGTCCGCTTGCAAGCTTTCATTGCGCTCCAACGTAAGTTTTGCGCTCCTGAGTATTCTTAATTCTTGTAATTTTCTTTTCTCGAACAGATATGCTCACGGCAACACAAGCTACCTTTCCAAACACTGACGTAAGCCGCTCTTTGTCAGATCAGTGACGTTCTAACTTTGCTTTCTTTTTCAGACAATCTCAGCTCAAGCAAAACATGTTCTTGGTATGTACATGAATACCTTGTGATATGTTCGTAGAAGACAACTGATTGCTGCTGTAGGTGTTGTAATGGAGCTGTATCTGATGTGCCTGAAATCAGACAGTGATAAGGACACTGTTTCACAGGTGTGCACCTGCCTAGCAGAAATCTACAGGCATCAGGACGCGAAAGCAATGGAACCTTGTAAGTCGCATAGTTTGTTTTCTTTGGTTGTCACTAAACGCATTTCTTACAGTTTTCTTGCTCACATCCGAAGAGGTTCTGAAACTTCTACGGCAGGAAGCCACATGCCAGCGAACGGACGATACAGACGACGAGGACGATGGGCAGCTGGACACAGATCAAGCACTGATGGATGCGGTTGCAGACGTTCTACCAGCCATGGCAACCTGTATGGGCCCATCTTTTGAGCCGATATTTTCTCAACATTTTGAAGCCTTGATGAAGTTTTCGGTACAGTCTCTTTGCACGTAGCATGTTCTTTTGTTGTCTCACCTTCTGATTTTCAGAAAGAAAGCCGCGCTGCAAATGACAGAACAATGGTGATTGGATGCGTTGCGGAGATCGCTCGTGCGATTGGATCACAGATCATACCCTACATTCCAGTACGTATTGTTTCTCCCTGTGCGTTCTGGAAAGTGGACTTTTGCGTGCAGCGAGTCATGCCGGTGGCTCTCCAAGAACTGAGGTCAGCCGAGGCAGCAAATCGGCGCAACGCTGCATATTGTGTGGGCCAACTGTGCAAGAATGGCGGTGTCAAAGCCGAGGAGTATGTCCAGCTTCATTGCTCTCTGTCCGGTGCTGATCCTTTAAAACTCCTCGCAGATTCTACGGAAGTGCTCTTGCGGCGTTGCATCCTTTGTTTAGCGAGGGAGAAGAGGACGTGGTGCGAGACAATGCAGCTGGAGCCGTGGCGAGAATGATCACGACTCAGTCGCAAGCTTTTCCTTTATCACAGGTACAGAGCGTTTTCTCTTTTGTTTTCTTTCTCGGGAAGTCAGCTTTGTCGACGCTGACACAACTGGAACCGTGTGTACAGGTCCTCCCAGTCCTCGTCCGAGCACTCCCTGTGAAAGCCGACTTGGAAGAGGCGACCGCTGTCTACACTTGCCTCAGCAATTTGATTCTAGCGTCGCAACCAGAGGTTGGTTTTCTTTAGTCTTTTTTTCTCTTCCATCTCTCTTGTTTTCTCTGGATTGATGGAAGAGAAACAAGAGAAGTTGGATGGCGGCTTCTCTTGTCTGTTCTAAGCCTTCGTTTTCGCAGATTCTACCATTGGTGCCGCAAGTGCTGCCAATTTTCGCCAAGGTGGCCGCCTCCACCGACGAGCTCCCCGAAGAAGCGAAGGTGCTAATCGGGCGAGCGGTGGCACACTTGCTGTCCCATTATCGCGATGAGATGCAGCCTCTTCTCAGCAACATTCCAGCTGACCAAGCCAACGCACTGGCAGCGATCGTGAGGAAGATCTGATACGATATCAGGCAAGAGCTCTTCTTCTTCTTCTTCTTCTTCTCTCTCTCTCTCGCGGTGAGGATTTTGTTTTCGTTCTCCTCCCCTCTTTCGATTTTTCGTGATCGATCGAGCCAGCTCTCCTCGATCACGCGAGTTTTGGCGTTGGATTATTTTTGTGGAATCGCGTCGCGTGGGAACGAAAGTTAGCGAACTTAGCGTGCGGTTTATTCTGTTGGCACATTCCGTTTGTCATTTTGGATATTCTGTTTGGCCCCTTTAAACTCTCGGCGTACCCGCCCTAGAGCTTAGATCGTTTCTCCTTTCTCGGATCTAGGCCGCGCGGCCGGGGTTTTGGAGCAGCGATCCATCGTTTTAGCTGGGCGCATCGGGTAGGATCGAAGGGAATTCTATGGCGCGCCCGACGCCGCTGCTCAAGGATGAGCTCGACATTGTGATTCCCACCATCAGGAACTTGGATTTCCTGGAAATGTGGAGGCCCTTCTTCCAGCACTACCATCTCATCATCGTCCAGGACGGCGACCCCAGCAAGCAGATCAAGGTGCCCGAGGGATTCGACTACGAGCTCTACAACCGCAACGACATCAACCGGATCTTGGGATCCAAGGCCTCGTGCATCTCCTTCAAGGACAGCGCCTGCCGCTGCTTTGGATTCCTCGTGTCCAAGAAGAAGTACATCTTCACCATTGACGACGATTGTTTTGTAAGTTCTTCCTTTTCTTTCTTGTTCTTGCTCGAGTTTGTTTGCTAGAGATTTCTTGCGAGATCGCGAATTCTTGTCTTTCTTTGTTCGATTGGTCGAGTTTGTTTGCTAGATTTATGTCTAGATCTCTTGCGAGAGCGCTGAGCTCACAAATCCTGTTTTTATTGTTCGAGTGCTCGAGTTTCTTTGCTAGATTCTTCTTGCGAGAGCGCTGAGCTTTTTCTTTTCTTCGATTGCTTGGATCGATCTGTATGAGCTGAGCTGATTTTGCTTTTGCTTCTTTCCAGGTAGCCAAGGATCCGTCCAGCAAAGACATCAACGCGCTGGAACAGCACATAAAGAATCTCTTGTCTCCATCGACACCTTATTTTTTTAACACACTCTACGATCCATACCGCGAAGGCACAGACTTCGTCCGGGGATATCCTTTTAGTCTCCGAGAAGGCGTCCAAACGGCGATCTCTCACGGCCTGTGGCTCAACATCCCCGACTATGACGCTCCCACACAGTTAGTCAAGCCATCCGAGAGAAACACAAGGTAACACTTTCATTCTTCTGGCACGAAAAGCGTTTTTTTTTTCTTCTCGATGCTTCTTTAGTTTCCAGAGATCTCATCGATGGTTTTTCTTTCTCGCAGATATGTCGACGCGGTCATGACGATCCCCAAAGGAACGCTCTTCCCGATGTGTGGGATGAATCTAGCTTTCAACCGGGAGCTCATTGGACCGGCGATGTACTTCGGCTTGATGGGCGACGGGCAACCGATCGGCCGCTACGACGATATGTGGGCCGGATGGTGTTGCAAGGTAAAAAACCAACTTTGGTCGCACAAAAAAACCATCTTTCTTTCTTCTCATCCCAAGAACTTACACTGCATTGGCATGAATCAGGTGATCTGCGACCACTTGGGCTATGGAGTTAAGACCGGCTTGCCATACATCTGGCACAGCAAAGCTAGCAATCCATTCGTGAACCTCAAGAAGGAATACAAGGGGATCTTCTGGCAGGAGGAGATCATCCCCTTCTTCCAGTCGGCAGTGCTGTCCAAGGAGGCCACCAGCGTGGAGCAGTGCTACAGGGAGCTGGCCAAGCAAGTGAGGGAGAAGCTGAGCAACGTAGATCCATACTTTTCCAAGCTCGCCGACGCCATGGTCACCTGGATCGAGTCGTGGGAGGAGCTGACCAGTAACAAGATCGTGGCTGGCGGCGTCAAGGCTTCCAGCGGTGGCGTCCATCACGCCAACGGCCCGACCACGAAGGTGGCGTCGCCGCTACCGCCACCGCCGGCTGTGGTCGAAGAACTTGGAAGCCCCGCAGCGTAAAACTCTTCCCAAAAGTTTTTTAAAAAAAATTCGCATCGATCTTTGCTCAGGAAATTAAAATAATGTCGCTATTTTTCTTCGCTGGGTCTTTCGTAGAAGTTTTAAGTCTTCCCGATTTGTTTTTTGCTCAGGAAATTAAAATAATGTAATTAGCATTAGAAAAACCCGGGAAAATCCCTAGCGAGCTTTTAGGTCATGCTAGCGCAGAGGATGGAGGCACTGGCGGGGCGGCTGTCCGGCAAGAATGTGAGTCTCCAATCCCTCCGCAGCAATCCCCTCGCCGGATCCCCGCGATCCAGCTCCACCTCCGCCCCCTCGGTGAGCGTCCGCGCCAAAAAGAAGGGCAACACCATCTCCGCCACGCTCTCCCTCACCGCCGCCACCGCCGCCAGCGCCAGCGCCGCCAAGGACCGCGTGGACGTGCTCGCCGAGGCCCTGCCCTTCATCCAGCGCTTCCAGGGCAAGACGGTGGTGGTGAAATACGGCGGCGCCGCCATGAAGGACGAGACCCTCAAGGACGGCGTGATCAAGGACCTGGTCCTCCTGGCGTGCGTGGGGCTCCGCCCAATCTTCGTCCACGGCGGTGGCCCGGAGATCAACAGCTGGCTGGCGCGCCTGGGCATCCAGCCCCAATTCAAGAACGGGCTGCGCGTCACCGACGCCGCCACCATGGAGGTGGTGGAGATGGTGCTGGTCGGCCGGGTGAACAAATCCCTGGTGTCGCTCATCCACCAGGCAGGCGGCGCCGCTGTCGGGCTGTCGGGGATCGACGGGCGCGTCATCACGGCGCGCGCGTCGTCGGACCCCGGGCTGGGCTTTGTCGGCGAGATCTCGGCCATCGACACGGGGCTCATCCGCGGGATCGCGCGCGACGGGTTTATCCCGGTGATCGCGTCGGTGGCGGCGGATGGGAAAGGGCAGGCGTACAATATCAATGCCGACATCGCGGCGGGCGAGATCGCGGCGTCGCTGGGCGCGGAGAAGCTCATCCTCATGACCGACGTGCCGGGGATCCTCACGGACCGGCACGATCACTCGACGCTGGTGAGGCAGGCGGACATCAAGGGCGTGCGCGGGCTGGTCGATGGCGGTGTCGTCACCGGCGGGATGATCCCCAAGGTGGAGTGCTGCGTGCGATCGCTGGCGCAGGGCGTGCGCGCGGCGCACATCATCGATGGCCGCCTCTCGCACTCGCTGCTGCTGGAGATCCTCACGGACGAGGGCTCGGGGACGATGATCACCGGATGATGTTTTTCAAATCGAGAGATTATTCTAATCGAATATGCCTGCTCTGTTGCCCTAACTTTTAGTAGCCCTAAAATCTTTCGCAACGAATATGCTTTCCCTACCGTACCCTTTTGTCCCAGATAAATCCCATCCGTACTCATAAAAGAATCGTCTATTCGTATTAATATGCTACAACCAATGGGAGGAGAAGAGAGGAATCAATCAATCGAACACTAAAAGAGAAAGAAAAGACTAAAAGGAAAGAAAAAGATGGGAGTTCTTCCATGGTGGCTCGATCAAATCTTGTCGATCTTGCTCGCGATCACCACGGGGTTGGCCTTGGCGATGGCGATCCGGCCCTGGCTCTGGAAATCAAACTCGCAGCCGTGCTCGCTGGGGTATCGATGGGGGAAGCACAGCACCTTGCCGCAGCGGCACGTCACGCCCATGAGCCCGACCTTCCGCCGGCAGCACGAGCACCTGTCTGGGGCGGCGGGGGGCGGGCAAGATCCTCGCGATCCCTCGCTCGATCCCTCGCAGCAAGATTGGGGCAAATCCCTGGGCGCCGCCGCCGGCGAAGCTCGGGCCTTTGCCGACCCGGATGGAAGAATTGGCGCCGCGCCGCTGGAGATCTCCACCGCCATGGCCATCTTGGCGGAATCCCTGTAGCACTTGGAGCACAGATTCATGGTCGTCCCGTTGCCGAAGAAGCCGCAGTTGTTCGCGCATGGCACGGGCGCCTCCGCCGCGGCGGCCTGCTGGTAATCGTCCTGCTGCGCCATGGAAATCGAGAAATCGAGCGAGACCCAAGTGAGATGCTGCCCGCCCGCACGCACCCAATTCACAGATCCTCGCGATTCGACGCTCTGTCGCCCTGTCCAGTCGCGAGCCCACTTCTCTCTCACCGGTGAGACGCTCTTCGCGGAGAAGAAGCGAAGAACCGCTACTCTAACACTAACAATTTTGCCCCAAAAAATGTGAGGTGTGGCGATGGCTTTATACCAATACCAGCATTGGGCGGCGCACGCGTGGAGGGAAAAAAAAGCGAGCAAGAGAGAGAAGGGGGGCGACGCTAGAGCTCCCCGTCACGCGCCCGTCACGCCCGTCGCTTTCGGAACAGAACCTACGTGGCGATGGACGGTGGCGGGGCTGCCGCGTGGCGGCCGGTGACCAATTCAACGGCGAGATTCGCTTGCCGCGGATCTCCGTAATCTCCACTTCGTTAAGATATCAATCGTCTGGTTGGCAAGAGTGGTGTGTTCTGCAGTGAAACACGTCTTCCACTTTTTTTTTTTTCTTACGCGCGGTTCCAACAAGTTTGATCGCCGCTGCTTGACCCTGTCCCTGTTGGAATGCCAATCGAGAACAGTGAGCTGTGAGAGCGTGAGAGAAATCCCATCTTCTCGGGGAGTTTCTCATCCTTATCGTTTCGTTTTTAAAGCCGCGCATCGGATCTGATAAGACCAAAAGCAACCGATTTTTAGCTGCTGGAACCGAAACAAACGAGAAGAAAAGAAAAGAAAAGAAAAGAAAAAAAACTGACACTCAACTGACCTGGGACACGGACTTTGTTTGCCTTGATCACTGCTGCTCTTCGTTTGAAGTTAAAGCTGTGGCTTTTCAGTCGCCCTCCCTTCCTCCTGTGTTCTACTATCCACCTAAACTAGAAACTAAGAGCCTCCTCCATGTCAAAAACCTTGGCATCGCTTTCACTCCGACAGGCCACCCGAGCTCTGCGAGAGCGGAGACGCGCCGTTTGGTGTTACTGCTCCACCGAAAGCGCTCTGGCTGAACGACTCGTTGCTCGAAGTGCAAACCATTGCCCCCATTCCCACGGTCACCTCGTCGGTATCCGAGTCCACATCCACCACCGCCATCGTCGCCGGCGGCGAGCTCTTGGTATCGGCTCCGCCGCTCGTCTCCTCCAGCACCTCGTACCACGAGCTGACATGGCTGTTTAGCGTCCCATTGTTCTCCCTTGCCACGATGATCTTCCTCTTTTTGCTCGCTTCCAATGCCTGGTCCCTGGAGCTGCTGTTCACCGCCAGCCTGCTCATGGTGTTCTTCAAGTTCAGCTTGCTGGCGGTGGAGTTTTTCGCTGCTGATGCTGCTTTCGTTGACCTCTTCGCGCTCAAGGATGGCAGAATCGGCGGCGGGGCGCCGGAACCCGTCCGGATGTAGTGCACAACCGGAGAAGCTCTTCCTCCCGAGCTGTTCTTCATGTTTGGCTTGGGTGTGCTCGGTGAGCTGAGTATTGTTGGCGGGCGGATGTGAACCACATTTTTCGCCTTCATGAAAGATGCCGCGGCGGACGCAGGAGCTATCCGTGCTCCAGCCGCAACAGCTGCTGCTTGAACCATTGGATCGGGTCCCAGAAGAGCCCGGTTGGGCATGGAGTTTGTCCGAGCTAGATTACTTGGAGCTAGATTACTTGGTTTCACTGCTGACGACTGTGACACCGACGGTGGTGGTGAGACCTGTACCGATGAAACGCACGTAACTTGTTGGTTTGTCACCACCGAGAGCTTTTGAGCGTTGGCAGTCACTGGAGCCGTAGGCTTGGGCTTGGCTGGCGTGGTGCTCGGGCTCGGTAAACTTGTCCGGCAAACAGCTGGAGTTGGAGATGTGAGCTTTCTCGGCATCGTAACGCTTGCTTTTTCCGTCCGCACTTGTGTCGATTGTACTGCGAGGAAATCGTTCAATGCACCAGAGAAGAGAACATGGAAGAAAATAAACGTACATTGCTTTTGTAGACTCGTTGGCGGAGGTACCACGGGATGCACGGGAAGCCCCGGGATTCCGTTCTGCTCACAAAGCTCCGAAAGAACCTTTGGCTTTTTCAGGCCTTGTTCGCACTGTTGTCCTGGTCCCTGTCTCGCTGGAGCTGCAATAGCTGGTGGAGGAGCAGCAGTCTCGCGTCGCCTCTTTATCAGCGCCCACCGCTAGCAGATTATCTACATTGTCAGAAGGCATCCAATTTAAAAAGAAGCAAAGAGATTCTACGTACTTGCGCTAGCTGTGTCGCAGTCCTCTCGTGCTTGGAAACGCTTTTGACAATGGCAGCCCAGTTCCCCTCTCCATACTTTTCCACGCCGGAAACAAGCTCCTCGTCCTCCTGTGCCGTCCAAGGCTTGCGCTTCGTCCGGTATGAATCCAAGCCCGCAGCTTGAGCGCTCGAAAAGCCAGGATATATGGACGTGAGGCCCAACGCAGTCGAGTCGGCATTCGCAAACGCTATGTCTGTGGAGAACCCCATCAAAGCCTGCGAAAAATCACAACCTCAATCAAGGAGATAGCCAAAGAGAGAAAAAAAAAAACTCTTCGAGAGTTCTTACATTGACATAGCTTGCAGCATCAGCTGATGCTTCCGAAGAGACGCTCGGGAAAGCCTCGACATCGAATTCCAGATCACTGTCATCGTCCTGGAAAAACCAAGGTGAAAAAAGGAAAAAAAAAAAATTCGACACTCAGGTGAAAAAACCTGGCAATGAGATGAGAGATCGAACCTCCAAAGGGAGCTCTTCTCCGTCGGGATCGAGCTCCTTGCGATAGGCGAGATGCCGCCACAGTGCCTGGTACTCGCGCGCATTCTTGATCCCGGTATTGGAATCCTTGACGATCTCGTCCCAGCTCACGCGCCCGCCGGCTTGCTTGGAGACCTCGTACAGCAGCGACAGGATCGTGCTAGAATCATACCTGCGATCGAAGAAGAAGATCCATAAACCCTAAACCCCCGGAGAAAGAACCGTGGCCACGAGAACCAAGGCGCAAGATACCTCTTGAGCAGCAGCGTCACATCGCCTTCCGCGATGAAGCCCTTGCGCTTCATCCAAACCGAGCTCTTCCTTTGCCCTGGAAATCGATTCCCCCGAATATGCTTCGTTACAACTTTGCCGCTAGAATATACCCCACTTTTGAAAACCCGAACGGTCAGCGACGGTCGTCGCCGTTCAATACCGGTCATCCCGTGAACCTCGGAAGAACAGCATTACTTTTATTCACTCGTAGAGAAACATATAATTAATCGAGCGGTGGAAGAAGGCTTAGATAGGATGGAAAGATCCAAAAACTTGGGAGTAATCGCAAGCGCCTGCGAATTCTCCCTAGCAAGGGGCGAATCCGCCGCTGCTCGCCTTCCTCTTGATCGGCGCGGCGGCGTAGAGATCGAAGATGTCGCTGAGCGCGCTTCGCAGCAAGCTCCCGGGCACGATCAGATCCACCAGCCCATGCTCGAAACAGTACTCGGCGGTCTGGAAGTTCTCGGGCAATTTCTTGCGCAGCGTCTGCTGGATCACGCGCCCGCCCGCGAACGCGATGTAGGCCATGGGCTCGGCCATGGCGATGTCGCCCAGCATCCCAAAGCTCGCGGTGATCCCACCCGTGGTGGGATTCGTGAGAATCGGGATGTAGAGCAGACCCTTTTGGATCTGGTGGACGTCCAGCGCCGCCGAGACCTTGGCCATCTGCATGAGGCTGAGCGTGCCCTCTTGCATCCTCGCGCCGCCGCTGGAGCACACGATCACGAGCGGGAGCTCCAGGCGAGTGGCGTGCTCCACCAGGCGCGTGATCTTCTCGCCCACCACGCTGCCCATGCTACCGCCCATGAACCGGAAATCCATCACGCCCAGCGCGATCTTGGTGCCCATGATCTCGCCCAGCCCCGTCTGGACCGCGTCCGTGAGCCCGGATCGCTTGCGGTAGCTCACCAGGCGCGTCGCGTAGTCCTCGTCGTCGCGGAAGCCCAGCACGTCCTTGGCCACCATGGCCTCGTCCAGCGGCGCCCAGGTGCCCGGATCGAGCAGGAGGTCGATGCGATCGCTGCTGCCGCGGCGGAGGTGGTAGCCACACTCATGGCAGATCCGATTGGGGATGCCGGTGTCATCGTCGGATCGGGCGTAAAGCATGGCGCCGCAGGCATCGCAAACGTCCCAGAGGCCCTTGATCATATTGTTCCTGGCCAGGACGCCGCTGCCGCCCTCGACGATCTTGCTGCCCATCTTGTTGAGGAGCGTGGAGGCCCTGTCCATGACCCAGCCCAGCGATCCACCGCCGCCACCGCCACTGCCGCTGCCGCCGCTGCCACCGCCACCGCCGCCGCCGCTGGAGCTCATGCTGGTGATGGCGAGCGCCGGATTGGGGCGTACCTGGAGGAGCATCGTCGTCGCCATCGCCGCCATGGCTCCTCGATCGATCGCTCGAGAACGAGGAAGAGAGAGAGAGAACCCTCGGTGCCCCTGACCTCACATTTCCAGTTTAAAAGCCCTTTTAATTTAATGGATGCCGTTAATTCTAGGGCTTCTTTATTAACGCCAATTTTTGTTCGCTAGATCTTTGCAAGAGTCTTGCAATCTCCATGTAATCCAGGTCCACCACCAGGCTCTTGAATGGGAAGGGCGATTGTTTTTACCTTGCTAATTTAGATAATATTTCCCAACCATGTAAAGAGAGCCAACCTGCAGAACATATAGGAACACTAAAAAGAAGTGAGAAACGAAGAACAAAGCTTGAATGAATTCCACTGCACACCTCTTGCATCAATCCTTTTCGGAAGTTTGGACTTCACTGCAAAAAGGTTCCAAAGAGAGATTCTTATGTATTTTAAAAATGCTTTCTTTCATTTTTCTCGTAGAGCATTTCCGCTCTGTACCTGTGGCAAAGGTTATTAGTATACAATGATAGATACAAAACATACCCTAAGATACTAGCAAACAAAGCTTGTCTCTTGGCTTCCAGCACAACCCTTGCTTGTCACACAACCAATGCTTCTGCAGCAACATGGCATTAGTTCTTTGGCCGACTGTTCTGCTGCTGCTTCTGCATTTGCCCGCTTCAACCCCTGTGCCGTTGCATTCATCCCCTCCATCTGAGCAGCCTTGCGTTTAGTAGCATTAGCGGCAGCCGCAGCTGCTTTTCGGACTGCTGTTTAGATATTCTTTGTGCCGGGTTTAAATTTCATTAGAGACATGCAGTTATTCCTCTCCACTTGCCATCATCTTCTTCCAGAATTCAACAAAGTGAAATACAAACCTTGTCATCGTGATGCCTCCCGAATTATGTTACTTGATCACGTGGTTGATGAACTTGTTCAGACTGCAAAACTCGATCCTAAATAATAGATGAGAAGTTCTGCAAGCTCATGGGAGCAGCATTCTCCCAACCTTCTCATGGTCATGCTAATAAGCTGCTCTTGGAAACTTGTGGTAAGCTATAAAGTGTTCCCTTAGGCCGAGCCTCTAACATGTTATAGACCATGTCTGCTTAACCACAAACTAAACTTTTGATGAGTCTAGATGCATCAATTTGTAGGCTTCATCCTTTGTGAGCGTGTCTGCATTGTCAGTGCCCAAGACCAAAAAGCAAAGTTGTGCTCCTATGTACCTCCACCACTTCCAGCACCATCCTGCTCTTAAAATCTGCTCCCTTCCTATGGGCTTCCCATTATGTGGTGTTGATATATTTGTACAATGGCTCCACTGTAGTGTATGTATTCATGTTGAAATACATGATAGCTCTCCCTCTTCAGTGAGTCAGTGAGTACACATGTTGTCTTGCCCGTGGCTTCCCATCATTCGAAACAAGCCTTGGTTTACTGTTCATGATCTTAAGAAAATCTTTTGCTCTGCCTCAGACATATCTACATATACCTTTGGTTTCTTAGGGGGTGGCAAATCTGGGTAGTCTGAGAACAATAATGTGCAAATTACACATGATCTTTCAAACTTTACTTCGCATCAGAGACTGTGGAGACCCAAACCATTGCACAAGACAAGGCTGGTGTGATAAGTGGTGACAAGCTTGAAAAAACTAAGAAAAATTAGTTTAAAGCAATTGCCAAACTCACTTCACAGCAATATGAGCATGGGAGTGCTGATCTCATCCTGGACTCCAGCGCCAAATCATCCATGGGGAAGCCGGCTCATATAATCATGACAAGATCCTGTTGGGGCTGTCAATGCATTGGTTGATATGCAATAATGTTAATCATGTATATATAAATTACAAACATACTTATAATTATAAACTTTATTTCATCAATTGGATTAATAAGTAATAATAACATTACTATTAAGTAAACCAAGTATTGCTACATGCAACACATAACAATTTATTTAAACTACCACTAAAACCTTAACCAAATATTCTTTTGTGTACTAGAATACTCTAAATCAACAACTCTTTATTAACTTGGCTCCCTGTGTTAGCAAATCCTCCCAGCCTCCCTGTGAGATGATAGAATAAAAAAGAATATATTAGAAAAGGTTTTAGAAAGTTTATAAATTATAAATACAAGATTAATCTAAATGAATAACAACCGTTAGATGGTAGAATATCCTAGAATATCCAAGCATATTCTATGTATATCCACTACCATTCTACACGTTTGCTTAAGCAAACCAACAAAATTAATAATTTTAATAATATTTAGATCTGTGTATCTAATATTAGTGGCAATAGTTGCTATTAAATAGAGGTTTGGTTTTATCAAATAATTTATAAAAAATATTATTTTAAAATTTAATAATTTAATTTTTATACTATTTATTTTATAATGTATATTTATATTAATTTTTTTATTTTTACTATAAAATCTGTTTGAGTGTAATTACAAGAAATGCCTTTGTGAGGTCTAAATGTACAGCTACAATATCATATATTAATATTAGCATAGTGGGATTTTGGTAGCCATCGGATTGATTTCAATCTGAACCACTCATTCCTGTATATAAGCTATGGTTTTTGGGCTAATTGATATATATATTTCTTGTATTCTCTTTCATATTCTATGCATTCACATTAGTGATTATCCCCCAAGGAGTGCTAAGATTTGGGATTTTAGTTTAGATCTAGATTTGCATTGTCTAAATTTCCCATTTTCTTATTACTTTTGGGATTTTAGATCTAGCTTTTATATTGAATAGATTTCCCTTTTCTTATTGCTTTTCTTAATTTCTTCTCTTTTGCTCTTTCTTTTTCGTTTATCTTTATGGCAAAGTAGTAGTTTCCTCTTCTTTTCACTCTAGAGCAACAATTGGTGCAATTATTCAATACTATGTGGTTGCAATTGAACAATTAAACTCAATTGATGGCAACATTCACAATGCATGGTATAATTCTTTCTGCTCTTGCTGCCAATTGTTACATCCGGCTAGAGGTCTTCTATAGGAATCTTAGGGATGATGTGTACCATTAGTTCGATCACTTTATGATAATTGCCACATATCATTTTTGAAATGATACTCAACGTTTGCGAAAATTTCCCATGTGTCTCCAAATGATGGCATTATAGTGGTACAATGGTTTGAGTGCAACCACTTATAGAGATTAGAGTATTTTCCTAGATATTATCAAATGCACATTTGGATATGTAAATGATTATGATAATGCCTTTCAACAATTGCATTGTATTTATCAAAAACCATTTGAGTTGGTGATGCAATTTAGCGTTTATTTTCGAAGCCTCTTGCTTTGTGTAAAGCCAAATATGTCAACATGGATCAAGCTAGGAATGTTGTGGCCAGTATTTCATCAAAATTTGGTAAGACTTGTGCATGCATTTGCTCTAACCACCCTTGGCAATGCTTTTTGTTTGGCACAACATTATAAAATGTTGCCTTTTCCACTTTTTATTGCATATCTTTCAGCTCTATTTCCTATAGGAGATAGTCCTATTCCAATGGAGGTTGATGCTGCTACTACCCGAGTTCAAGGACTAAGATAAGGATGTGGTCATCGCTGTGATGTTCATTGTTGGACATGTGATAAAGTTGGTTAGACTTATCAGCGTTAGTAGCATTTTCCAGATTAGCAATCTCTATTTCCCTAGATAGAGACCTTGGCATCAACAACATCCTATGTAAGCTCCTGAGTTTGGACTTCCCGGGAGGTCACCCAGCCCAGTACTATTCAAACCCAAGGACGCTTAACCCCAAATATCCCAAGACCCTTAACCGATTGGAAAAGGGGGTGCACTCTTGTTTATGGGCCCTTTCCCTCTATATTTGAACCCCTATGGATCGTCTCTCGAGTCGTTCCCTTTGGTTGCTTACAATCCACCACGCTTCCCTGCAAGTTCACGCCCTCGTGAACGGAAGCTGAGAGCCGCAGCTTTCCCGAGAGCCTCGCTCTCTTGACACCCTACCCCTCGGGTCGAGCCCAGCGGGAGCAAACTGGACCAGCCAGATGTCAATCAACATGTGGTGCAATTCCCCTAAGCCAACCAACAGAGTCGGACCCAAGACCTCTCTGATATCAAATGTAAGCTCTTGAGTTTGGACTTCCCGGGAGGTCACCCAGCCCAGTATTATTCAAACCCAAGGACGCTTAACCCCAAATATCCCAAGACCCTTAACCGATTGGAAAAGGGGGTGCACTCTTGTTCATGGGCCCTTTCCCTCTATATTTGAACCCCAATGGATCGTCTCTCGAGTCGTTCCCTTTGGTTGCTTACATCCTATTGGTGTTATTGTAATGGAAGGTTTGGACATTGAGATGCATTTGAGAAATGAGGAATTGTGCAAATAACGAAGGGATTTTACATAACTAAGGTAGTGACCCTTTCATTTTTCTTTTGGGAGATCATCAAGGGGTTCACTCAACATTAGTTCATCTAGTGTTTACTTTTTAAGCTTGTTTTTATAACAAGAGGTTTCCTATTATTCTTTCTATGGTGGTTAATACAAGCTTGAGTTTATCTTCTATTGTTCAACCTACTGCCACACGTTACCATCTATATTTGCATTTTGTAGCAAAGCTAGTTTTTATTCTTTATGGTAATGGTTGTATATACACATGTGCATAGGATGAGGCAAATGTGCATGTAGGTGATGTTGAGCTTAAGTTGCAATCATTGCAGGTGGTGTTGAGTCAAGCTTTTGACCTCTATCTTTGGTATGGATTTGTTGCAACACAATCATGCCAAGTGTGATTTTGAGGTTTTTCACCCTTGCCTCAGGGTGCGGACCATACTTGAGCTCACGAGTTGAAGAGTTGAGCTCACGAGTTGAGCTCAATTTTCAATTGTAATTTAGTACAAACATTATAAACTTTAAAATTTTAAGGTTATGGAGAACCTAATAATTTCATAATTCTCTATATATTATATAGATAAAAATGTTCTAAAGGACACTTCTTGTTCTAATATTTTAAATATTTACTACATGCAATGATAGGGACGTTTGTTAGAACATAAAATAAAATGTTTTCAAGAAGAGTATTCTTGTAAGTTCTTTAAATTTGTACTTTGTGCTTTTTGGCTAGTAAATGTTAGATTTGTCAGACTTAAAAAA